GAACCCAACGTTCCTGGGCGGGGAGGGCCATCGGGCCCCTGTTGGCGAATAGTGGGCGATCGGGGGTCGATGCGTCAGTCCCTGGGCGCATCCTCCCCTCACTTTGGCGAGGTCACCGTCGTGACAAGATCAGCCAACATCGGGTCGGTGGATCGGATCAGGCCAGAACGCGCGCCAGATATGCGTCAGGATCCGATCGAGTCGGCCAATCCAGGATGAACAACAGCGTCATGCAGGCATCGTGACGCATCCGATCGTCGGAATATCGGAATCAAATCAGGTCGAGAAGGCCGAAACCAATATCGAATCGGATCGATCGGATCGAAATAAGACCCTGCGTGGAGGCCTCATTGCTCCCAACCCCCTCCTACCCGCTCACCCATCACCCATTCGAGCTTCGTGCTCCGGGCAAATCTCTCGCTCACTCCCCTGGCCCCCTATTCCAACTCCCCTGCCCCCTCCGCCCCCTCCGCCCCCTCCTCCTTCTCCCGGCCGCCGCCACGAAGGAGCTGCGGTCCCTTCTGGGCTTCTAAGGGTCGAGGACTCAGCGCCGAGGATCGAGGATACGGGCTCCTGGGCGCTCTGGGCGACCTCTGGGCATCCACGGCTCTCCTGGAGACCTTCAGAGGCCTCTGGAGTCGCACAGAGCGCCCAGAGTCACCGTCGTCGTCGCCGCCGCAGCAGCTCAAGTCGACGTGCAGGCCGTCCTCGTTTTCCTCACCCTCACCCCCGTCCTCCTCCTCCTCCTCCTCCTCCTCCTCCTCCTCCTCCTCCTCCCCCTCCTCCTCCTCCCCTCCTCCTCCTCCTCCTCCTCCTCTTCCTCCTCCTCCTCCTCCTCCTCATCATCATCATCATCATCCTCCTCGCTCCTCCGCCTCTCCTCCTCCTCCTCCTCCTCCTCCCCTCCGCCTCCTCCTCCTCCTCTCCTCTCCTCTCCTCCTCCGCCTCCTCCTCGTCCTCCTCCCTCCTCCTCCTCCTCCTCCTCTCCTCCTCCTCCTCCTCCTCCTCCTCCCCCTCCTCCTCCTTCAGGAGGAGCTGAAGTCCTGGCGGCGGCGGCGCGGAGGGAGGGATGAGGACCAGCGTAATCTCACCACACAATCGGGATGCTGCAACACTCCCTCGCGTCGCACGCCCCTCTTCATGAGACCATGTGAACAAGTTCTCAATCTGCGATGAGCAACCGCTGCCAAGATGAGAACCTCATAGGGCTGTGCGGTGTGAACCGTGAGTGCGGTGAGAACAGTGTGTGCTTTGAAGTACACGGTCGTGTTCGTATTGATAGAGTCGGCTGCAAAATGTTACAGCATACACTGAGCTTGAGCGAGGGAGCCTCCAACCATATACGTAGCTGGTAACCTCTCAGGAACGGTCTGGAGTAGAAGAACAAAAAAAATGCACAAACATAAACTGACGGAGGTCCGCGCGGATTTCTTGGATCGCCGCTGGACCACCTCTCTGGCGCATGGAACGCGCCTTGGGCGGCTACAAAGGCGCCGCCAAGGGGGTCCAACGATGACCCAAGAAATCCGCGCAGGGCTTCCATGAGCTCACGGTTATGTAAATGTTCCTTCGTCGGTCAAAATAAAACTGGCCCAAAACTGTGGAATTGCTGAACTTGCCAGGCGTTGTTAGTGGAAAGGTCTGAAGAACTCTCGACTGAGAGATCGATCGCCAACACAAACCTCCATCCAGACTTGCAACGCGAGATGAACCCCACCAGCCTTCTGGACGAAGGTGGTCGGAGGTTGGGGGGTGAGATCGCAGTGAAACGGAGACCCCCCACCGGGAAATCGGTTTCGGTTTCGTGTTCGTGTCGTGCGTGCGGGCGAGGCGAAGCTGCGAGTGATCCTCCTGTAGCTAGGCCGAAGTAGGAGCGAAAGTCCGTTCCTGTCCGCCGGTGGCTGAGAGGTGTCCCAATTGAGCCAGGCGGTGTCCCTGGTGTCCCGGGTGTCAGTAGGAGCGAAAGTCCGTTTCCCGTCCGCCGGTGGCCGGGAGGTGTCCCAGTCGGGCCGGGCGGTGTCCCGGGTGTCCCGGGTGTCCTGGGCGTCCCGGCGCTAACGCATGTCGCTAACTTCATAATTAGTTTGTTTTCGGCGCCTTCGGCGGGCTTTCTTATTCAATCCAGCTTATCTTTCTTATCCAATCCATCTTGTCCAATCCAATCATCGTATCGTATCCAACCCATATTGTCCCATCTTATCTTATCCCACCCAATCCAATCCACCCAACCCAATCCATCAATTCATGTGTTTCTGCGCCTGCGGCGGGCCAATCCAATCCATCTTATATTATCCAATACATTTCTTCCAATCCAACCCATCTTATCTCATCCAATCCATCTTATCCCATCCAATCCAATCCACCCAACCCAACCCGTCAATTAACGCCAGCGGCGGGCTTTCTTATCCAATCCAGCTTATCTTATCCAATACATATTGTCCAATCCAATCCATCTTATCTTAACAAACCCATATTGTCCCATCTCATCTTATCCCACCCAATCCGATCCATCCAACCCAATCCATCAATTAATTTGTTTCTGCGCCTGCGGCGGGCCAATCCAATCCATCTTATATTAACCAATACATATCTTCCAATCCAACCCATCTTATCTTATCCAATCCATCTTATCCCATCCAATCAAATCCACCCAACCCAATCCATCATTTCATTTTTGTCGGCGCCTGGGCGCGATCGCGGCAGACTGCGAGGCTCGATCATCATCGAGCCTCGCAGTCCGCAATCATCATTGTGGTGGAGGGAGAGTCTGATAGAGAGGGAGAGATAGAGAGAGAGGGCGAGAGAGAGAGAGAGACACAGAGAGAAAGATACAGAGAAAGAGAGAGATGAGATCAAGGTGACAGGCTGGAGGTCAGTCAGGGTGGGCATTTGATCTCAATCCCCCCCAACCTTCTTATCGCCCGCAGGGCGGTCGTATAAGTATGACGAGTTGTTGTCTTCCCTCCTCCCCAGAGGAGGTTATCACTGCTCATTGGGGCGGCAGGGACGCCAGCATATGGCCTGTTGCACGCAGGCCCACCAGCCGTCAAAAAAAACATACAAACTGCACGCCGAGGATAAGCCTGGATCAGGATCACACGCGGGCACCCCGCGATCATTTTGCATTGGTTTTGGACAGCGAAGGCCCGGGTGCTGGCATATTGCTGGCTATATGCAGACCCAATGGAAAGCATGATGGCCACTCCGCCGCGATTGTGCATTCATTGGTTTCTGGCAACGATGGTGGGGCCGACATGTTTCCCGATAAGCGAGGGCGTACCTGGCACACTCTGCGCGTGCCACGAACGCGGCGCACCTGGCGCGGCTGGAGCATGCGGCACACCTGGTGCACGAAGAACATGTGGCGCCCTGGCACGCTTGGGACCCGGGGGCGCCTGGCGCGCCTGGTGCGTGGCGCAACTGGCACGCGTGGCGCACTTCGCCCCAGCCTCTCGCACCTGGGGTCTGGGAAGGCGGATGGCAGTGAGCCAAACGGTTTGCGTCTGGGAGAGATGTCTTGACCCCTCTCCCGTACCCCTCCCTTGGGTATGGACGGGGAGGGGTCCTGAGGGGTTAGAGCGTCCAAGCTTGCCAAAGAGAGAAGGCAAGACCCCCCCCCCAAAGAGCCCCAGGGGTCCCAGGGACCACCCAAAAAAGCCCCAGAGGGCCCCAAGAGGCATCAAGGGGAAAGCCCCAGAGGGCCCCAAGAGGCCTCAAGGGGAACCCGAGAGGGCCCCAAGATGGCTCCAAGAATCTTCCGAGCACGTCGAACGCCTCACAACAACATATCCGCAGAAGACGCCTCCGGCTGTTCCACCGCGTGCTTCTACACGTTCCTCATCAGGGCAACTCCCCGGGCGATCGCTTCTGAATGGGATGGTGGGGAAATGCGAAGCGCAAAGAATTTGAACAGGCCGCTCCTCCTCTGTGCAACTGCAGAAACGCCGGCTCTACAACACGTCTGCACCCACGAGCGAGGAGCCCAGTAGGGGTGTCCTAGGCCTCCTGGTTGGGGTCGGAGCAGATGGGGGCGGAGGATCGCGCCACATCGCCAATGCATCGGCGATGCATCAGCGATGCGGCTCGATGCGGGGCCCAATTTTCTCCACGCCGACTTCCAGGCGAGAAGCGCACTTTTGAAAAATGCACCGCCCTCCATCCGTGCAGCTGCTTGGGGTTTCGAACTGCAGCACCCGCCGACGCTGAAAAGCGCCCCGAAGCGAGCGCTCTTGGACGCTCTAGAGCAGAGGGTCCTGGTCCTGAGAAAGAGAGAGAGAGAGAGAGAGAGAGAAAAAAAAAAATGAAATATATATATAGAGAGAGAGAGAGAGAGCAAAGGGTCCTGGTCCTGATCCAACCCGAAGACCCACTCCTGCGCACCCTCGATCCAGGGCAGGCTTCCAAGCCAGCCCAGCCCTCGGCCCTCCACCTGGTCACTGGACGGCCCCCAAGGAAGGGAAACATCAGCCTCACTTCGGGTTCGCTCCCTGACCCCGCCGTGGGCCACACACACACACACAGAAAACAAAAAAAAAAAAAAACACTCCTCCAACGTGCGCCAGGCTCGTGTTGCGACGACCTCCGCGTTGGTTTCTGGCATCGCGTGTATCGTTCCGTCCTCGACGATCAGCGGCTTCTCGATCGCCAGAGGAGTTCATGCTGGCCCGACTCTGGGCAACAACGGCGGCGTCCAACCTGGAACGCCCGCGGCAAGGTCGCTGCGGCGTCGGCACGACGCGAGCCTGACGTGCCCTCGATCCAGGGCGGGCTCCCGGGCTGAGGGGTAACGATAGGGGGAGACTGGCACACGCAACCTCGATCCAGGGCGGGCTCCCAGGCTGAGGGGCAACGATAGAGGGAGACTGGCACACGCGCCCTCGATCCAGAACAAGCTCCCAGGCTGAGGGGCAACGATCGGGGGGAGCGCATCGCCCTGGAATCGGCGATGCATCGCCGATAGATCGCCGACAGGCCCCCGATGGTGAATGCGCACGCTGCGGGGCAGGCTGGGGCCATCGGGCCCCCATCGGCGATCAAGGGGCGGCTGGGGGTCAATGCGCCCCATCCTTGCCCCATCCTTGCCCCCGACCCATCCTTGCCCCCGACAGGCCAGCCCAGCCCACGGCCCTCCACAGCCGGCCGCTGGCCGGCCCTCGGCGCTAGGCAGCGCGGCGTGGGCGGGCGGCGGCGGCGGCGGCCGCCAGCCAGGGGAGCCCCCCGCGCGCGCGAGGGCGCGCCAGAGGCTCCTCGTCGTCGTCCTCGTCGGCCTGGGCCTTCAGCGCGGACCGTC